GAATCTCCCTATGTCCTCCTTCATGTCCAGCCACACCTCTCTGTCATTCAAGGGAAATAGGAACCACACAGGCTTTGAAATCAAACTGGGTTTGGCTCCTGTCTCTGCCCTAGACTGGCTAAACGACCTTAGCCAAGTTACATCACCTCTACACACTTTTGTTTTCTCCTGCAAAATGACCGTATTTGTAACAATTAAAGGCCTACTGCATGCTAGACTGTGCTAAGGGTTTTCTGTGCACTAAGAAGTGAGGTGATGTGGTGGTGAAGGTTCATTCATAAGACTCATACCACCAGGGTTCAAATCCTGTTTACTCTCTCCCCTAGCTGGTTAACCTTGGGTTAGTTATTTAACTTCTCTGATTGTCCTTCCTATAAGATGGAATTAAACAGTGGCCACCTCATTGGATCACTGTGAAGATTATGTGATGCAAGAGATACAAACTGCTCAGAAAAGTGCCTGGCACTTCACACACACTCACTTTATCTTATGTAATCATCACAACAGCCATCTGTTAAGTACTTTTTAGTCCCAAGAAGAATGTGAGTCTCAAGGAGGTGAAGTGACCTGCCCATGACTGCATATCCAGTAAGCTGCAGAACTGGGATTTGAACCCTGATTTGGCTACTCAGAGCACATGCTCTCACAAGGCTGTGTGCGATGAGGAACCTAGTGAGGCAACTGGCACATTATAGGTGCTACTTGCACCCAGGAATTCAGATGCCCTGCCCAACTCCTGCGCATCCTGGGTGCATCTTCTTCCCCGCCCCTCCATCGACCCAAGATGGGTTGTGAATCCTCTACAGTGTCGGTCCCGCATCACTGCATCTGACAGAGCCCTCACCAGCTTTGGAGAGAACCCAACACGTTGAGCGTCAGGTCTGAGAAGCGTCTCACTTTTATTAGCGTTAATCTAATATGTTGTCTTTCTTCGCTGAACTCGGAATAAGTTAATCAAGGACAGTCTGGATTTGTGTTTTCTTAATAACACCGCCTGATTCTAAATGCTGTCTGCTGAGCTCTGGGCTCAGGGCTATGTTCTTATTTTCTCTTCCTTCTCTCTTTGCACTTTTAAAACAGATAAGGTTGGTGGGCTTGGGGTGAGTGGCTCTTAGCATGGCATAGAAGAAGGCTCACAAGCTTTGGGATTTTAAACCTCGGTTACTCCACTAACTAGTTACCTATATATTCCAGAGTAACTGATTTCTTTCTGAATCTCAGTTTTACCATTTTTGATATGGGATAACAATAATTTCTAACTTGCTGAGTTGTGATAATTAAGTATGATAATGAAACACTTACAACATGGTCTAGCGCATAATAGCTGCTAGCTATTACTACTAACAGACACTATTAAATAACCTATTATTATGAGCCAGAAGATGTGATAAACATCTTCCATACATCATTTCATTCAGATAACATATGAAAAGCAAATGGAAAGGAGGCTGGCATGAAGTAGGTGCTCAAGAAATGATAATAACTATTAGGAGCGGTTGTGGCAGCAGTGTTTCAACAACAAATGGAGGGTGTTCATGCTGTTGTGTGTATCAACTATGCCACACAGAATTCATAGTCTAGCAGGGGACCTGGACAACCAAAGCAATAACTCTATAAAAAGTCTATGACAGGAAGCATAGTGGAGGAGCCTTTGATCAATCCTGGAAGCAGGTAATGGACACTTTCCTGGATGTGAGTAATGTGAGACTTGGAGGAAGAGTCAAGCTAACTCTGGGGAGGTACTCCACGCAGAGTACCATTTATTCATTCATCCAGTCACTCATCTGTTCAACATATAGGTAGCAAGCACCCGCATTGTTCCGGGTGCTGTCCCAGGTGCTGAAGGAACAGAGATGAACAGGCAACAGTCCTGCCCTCTTGGAGCTGACAGTCTATTGGAGAAGACAGGCTATTAACCAAGACGCAAACACAGAAACAAGATGCTTTCAGATCATGAGAAGAAAACAGGTGAAATTAAAGCTGAGGAATGTGGTCGTGACTGGGTAGGAAGTGGGGCCACTTTGAGTTAGGACACTCTGAGAAGGCAAGGTTTGACTGAAGCCTTCAAGAAAGAGAAGATCTAAAGGAAAAGAATCTCAGAGAGAAGGTATGGCATATACAAAGATTCAGAGGTGGGAACCGGCTTAGGGTGTTCAATGAACAACAAGGACAACCGGGCAGAGTGTGGTGAGGAAGATGGAGAAGGTTAGATGTGATCGGAGAGGTGGGCATGACAAGCAGTCTGGAGTTTGTTCTAAGCATGACAGGGAGCACAGGGTGCAGGCTTGTAAAGGCTTTGGGACTCTCAAGGGACTAGGTGGAGTCTGGAGGAGCTGGGGCGAGATAGAGCTTGATGGGTAGAGAACACAGAGAAGCCACATCACAGTTTCTCTATCTGTGTAGCAACTTACACCTCACCTAAGCCTACAAGATGGACTCCCTTCCCCAAGGTGATGCATGAGCACTTCCTGAGCACACGCTCCCTTCCCCCAGGTAGATGCACAAGCACTTCCTGAACACACCAGAGAACTCCCCTGCACCAGGCATCATGCTAGGTACTTCCATGACTGGTGTCTCACTGAACTCTTGGGAACAGCCTGGAAAGGAGGGATTGTTATCTTTATTGTAGCAAATTCAAAACTGAGGTGTAAGAAGATGAGCCCACATGGTGGGTTGGGGTGAAACTGGACTATAAATCTAAGTCCTTAATATGATCTGCTGCCTCCCACCCTCTCCTTCACCTCCCTATGAACACTGGGTTCTTAAAGAGACAGAATTCTAAGAAATTCCTGAGGCTGGAAAGGTAGAACCTCGTGGATGGTTCCTGAGCCAGGTGTAGAGTGGAACTGGGCCAGGGACTTAAGCTCCCCAGGATGAGTTCACTTCTACTATTCCCATTCCCTTTATGATGAGAAAAGGGGCTTCTGTGAGCTGAATCACAGTGGAAGGATGTATGTATGACATGCAGCAGGGGCTGGCGAAGTTTCCCTCTGCCCCGATTGGCAGTTTATTCTCCCAAACCATCTGGCCTGGATTCCCAAAATGTCCATTCATGTTAATCGCATGAATTGCAGGGGTGGCGACTCCTCCCCAGCATGCTGGCCCGATGAGCAGATGCCAGTAGACTCTGTCTCTCTCCAAACATTCAGGCCAGATGGATCTAATTTAAACTCCAGTGTGGCCACTGACCAGCTGTGTGACCTGAGCAAGTATCTTTACTTCTTCAAGCATCAGTTTCCACATCTGTTAACTGGGCACAGGATCACAGGGCCTTGCTGAAGCTCATGGAATGTAATGAAAATCAAATAATGTAACGTGCTCACAAAGAAAAGGCTGAGAAAATGCAATGAAAAATATGTCCAGGGCCATGATGTCCCCTGAGAACCATTGCCAAATCACTCTGCACGGTGGGCCTAGAAGCAGTGTGGAGAAGCAGGAGCTTTGTCTCTCAGCAGCTGTGGAATCTCGGGCTCTTGGTGCCTATCACTGCATCACTAACATAGGAATAATAGGCCCAGCCAGGGTGCTGTGTGCTGTCAAGATGCTGTGCAGGGCAGGCAGATAGCATAGTGGTTACATCACTGGACTCCCATATGGCTGACCACGGTTCAAGTCCCAGACCCAGTGGCGTGAAAACCATGCCAGGTGTGTATGTGTGCATGCCCAAAATCCCAGGAGGAGAATGAAGAAGGGATTGTGGCATGGTCATCCCCCACTCAGGGGTGAGTTTTCACCTCCTCTCTCACTGTCTCTGTCTCTCTGGTGAGCAAACATGTCCTAAGGCAAACACTTGAAAAAAAAAAAAAAAGGATGCTATCCTCTGCAGGTCGGACCCATATGGAGGCCCAGGTGCAATTCCTGTCTGACCTAACAGCCGGGCGCAGTGGTAAGTACTTGCAACCCCAGCAATCTGGGAGGCCAAGGCAAGAGGATCATGAGCTTGAGGCCATCCTGGGCCACAGGCAGAGATCCTATTAAAAAAAAAAAAAAGAGCTGAGCGTGAAGGCACTCACCTATAGTCCTGGCTGGGACACCACCATAGGAAATCTCAACATGGTGAGACTCTGCCTTGAAAAGGGGAAGTGGGTGGCAGCAGTGGCACGGTGGAACACAGTACTCTGCGATGCTGAAGCTACATGGGAGGATCCTGGTTCAATCCTGGGGTCTCCCTGAGCACTCTGACAGAGGCACCCCTGATCCAGGCTGGCTGAGGCCAGGAGTGGATCACAGTATGAAGACCCCATCAGGGTTACTAACCTCTCTGTTTCTCTCATGCAAGAAATAGTTTATAACATGGGAATAAAAGCATCTATTACACTGAGTTGTAATTATTCAATATACATAAAGTGTTTAGAAGAGTACCTGGTGGGGCCAGTAGGTGGCATAGTGGTTAAGGAGCTGGACTCCCACCTAGCCTACCACGGTTCAAGTCCCTACCCTAGAGGCTTGAAACTTATACCAAACACACCAGGTTTGTGTGTGTGTGTGTGTGTGTGTGTGCCCAAAATCTCGAGAGGAAAATGGATTGTGGCATGGCCATCACCCTTGAGGGGGGTGACTTCTCACTTTCTCTCTCTTTGTCTCTGTCTCTCCAGTGAGTGCATGCACCTTATAGCAAAAATCTCTCCCCCCTACCCCCCAAAATAGAAGAAGAGTACCTGGTACTCAATAAATGCTGGCTGTTTTTATTTCTACGTGTATTTAATAAGGACTGAAAAAGGCTGCAGGGGAAGGTCAGTCTTTAAACTTTGACAAACAGGAGACTCAAATCCAGACTTGCATACTGGGAAGCTGTGTGACCTTGGGCAAGCTACTTAACCTCTCTGAGCTTCAATTTTCCAGTCTTCGATGGGATGATAATGAAACCTATTCTGTACCTATTGCTATAACTGTATGACAGCTGGTCCCTATTAAGTGCTGAACACTGACAGCTGTTATATTGTAACTGCTCCCCTCCCTTCTCATCAGTCCCCTTCATTCCAGACGTTTACTGCTCTTACCTCGCTCCTCCTCCTTCTCTCGGACCACCCTCCCTTTGAGGGCTCTGCTCCAGGCTCCACCGTAGTCACCCAACTTGGCTCTCTCGTTCCCGTCTTTGCCTTTGAACCAGGTTCCGTACCTGCGGGCGATGCTCGAGGCGTCTCCCGTGTCCCGGAAGCCTCTGCCCAGATGCAAGTCTCCCAAGAAGGGCAGCTCAGCGCCCTCGACTGGGCCCCCGAGAGCAGGGTTAGCCTGGTTCTGGGAGACAGCGGGCTGGCCTACAAAGCCAGAGTGAAGGAAGACGAGGCTCCCGGCTGTCAGGTAGAGAGCTAGGAAGGTAAAGAAGCGCACGGGCTTCCGGCGGAAGTACCGCTGGAATCTGAACCAGAGCTTGGCCATAGCGGGATCATTCCGAACTGGCTCGCTGGAGCTCGGCCAGGGCTCAGGCTGGGGATGGAGGGGGCCTGGCTTCCCAAGCTTGCCTTAGGGCTGGAGTCCCTGGGGGTCCTCAGTCTTAGGCCCTCTGCAAAGGCGACTGCCAAGACCAGAGGGGAAGGGCAGGTTCGGTGACTGGCGAAGGCCAAGAGTAGGGAGGAACGACCTTACCAGCTCTCTCAAGCTCTTCTCAGGGCCAACAAAGGGGTTTTGAGGCTCAGGGCCCCCAGGAGTTGGTCTCATTTTCCTACATCTTGTTCTTCACCTAGAGACTTCCCAAAGAACTTTGAAAATAGTAACTGGGAGAGAATCCTGAGGGTCAGCAGCTGCTGCAGTCCATGTCCTGCCTGTGCTCAGCCCCGCGGGCCTGTGGGAGCTGGCTTATTTCACTGAGGGCCTGGTCTGTGGCCTCTTCCCCCACCAGGGACCAAGCTCTGCTTGTCCACCTTCTGGGAACAGTAGTCGGCTGGCCTCCATCCAGTCAAGCATCAGGACCAGGGCTGCCACCTGCAAAACAGGACAAACACAGGTTTGAGATGTCCGTCACCGGCCACAGAACCCAGGGCTCTTGAGCACCCTCAAGAGAGGAGGGAGAGGTTTGGAGAGGGGAGGGATCCCCCCATGGCATGAAGCATGGTAGAAGTGCTGGGTCAAATCCCAGGCCTGAGACTTCTAGAACACAGTGTTCTTTAAACTAAACTGGGAATATGGGGACTTGAATCCTACTAGGCTCCAGTGCTGGGACAAATGCTGTCTTGGACAAGCATAGGTTCTTATGGGCTAAGAGGTTCTTTATTTTGCACTTTCTACCTAATGGGTTGTTGGAAAAGTCATGATGTGTTTTTCTATGCAAAAATGCATCATGACTTTTCCAACAACCCAGTATCAGGCAAATATATATATATAGATATAGATATAGATAGATATATTGATATATATATTGGGTTTTTTGGGGGTAAGTTTTGGCTATAGGGCACGTGAGCTCACTAGAAAGACAGAGAGAGACAGAGAGACAGAAAGTGAGAAATCACCCCCCCCCCAGGGGGATGGCCACGCCGCAATCCCTTCCCCTCCATTCTCCTCTTGGGATCTTGGGCACACATGCACGAGCACCCAGTGTGAGTTTAAGCCACTGGGTCCGGGACTTGCACCATGGTCAACTACGTGGGAGTCCAGCAACATAGCCATCATGCTAACTGCTGGTCCCTAGTCAAATATATATTGATTCATGGGTTCCAGTCCAAACACATGTCCCAGGTCAATGGACCGACCTGGCTGATTTTAGACCGGTTTATTAAACACTTAATCTATACCAGGCTTTATATTACACACCTATCTTCTCTGATTTAATCCTCATAACAGTTCTATGAAGGAGAACTGCAATTTTCGGAGGAGAGAAATGAGATCAGGGTTCAGGGTCACAGAGCTGGTAAGTGGTAGCCAGGCTGCAAATCCAGGACTACCTAACTTCAGAGCCTATATCTCTCATCATGCATCTCTTCTGGTCTGATAGCCCTTTGAAGATCTGATGACAACTACAGACGTATGGCCAGAAAAGAGCCCTTGCACATAAATGCCCAGACCTTGGCTTAAAATGTCAAAGGGTCTAGGGAGCCTGGGTGAGAAGCCCTGGAAGGTGGGAGCCAGGGAAAGTGAGGGTCTGCAACTTACTTGGCGGGTCATTGACAACCTCCTCAGGGAGAAGACTTTGAGCTGGCAGGTCTTGGAAGTAGTCAAAGGGCTTCCAAGAAGGTAAAGTTTCTCTGGGCAAAGGAACAGCAGGACAGCATATACATATGCAAGGGCACAGCACTGGGGTGGAGGGAAGAGAAAGGAGGTGTGGCCATGGAGGGAGGTGGCTAACAGGGTCCTGAAAAGACTAGAAGGCCGAGCTCAAGAGCCTGGACTGTGCTTTAACAGTTTGGGTGGAAATCTACAGACGTTTCGTGGTCACAGGGGACACTCTGGAAAGACCAATCAAGTATCAGCTTGAAAATCTCCAGGCAGAAGGCAGGGCCCCTAGGTATTCCAGGTAAGTCACCCAGATGTTTCTGCAGTTGGGCCAGGATGAGAAAAAGCCAGCAGCCTTCTGGGATGGGGCAGGAGGACACCAGCCCTTCCAAAGGCACTCAGGCAAGGACATGGGCTTTGGTGAGTTCTAGAGACAAACTGACCTGGGTTCCAATCCACCTCATCTGCCCACCAACTATCTAACTGGGGCGAGATGTCTTCTCCCCAAGACTCAGGTTCCTTACCTGTAAGTGGGCCTAAGAATCTTGACTCCCACTAAAAATATATTGCCGGGAGGACCGAATTAAAAATTATAGGAAGAGGGACCAGTAGGTGGCATGGTAGTTAAGACGCTGGATTCCCACATGGCCCACCACAGTTCGAGTCCCAGACCTAGTGTCTTGCTTTCTCACTTTCCCTCTCTCTCCCCCTCTCTTTCTCTCTTGTAAATATATGTGCCCTTTAGCAAATAAAATAAATAAGTAAATGGATGAACAAATAAATTAAATAATTCTTTAAAAGAAAATTGTAGGGGGACCATAGCGTAATGGCTATGTTGCTGGACTCTCATGTAGTTGACCGCGGTTCGAGTCCTGGACCCGGTGGGTTAAACTCATGCCGGGCGCGTGTGCATGCATGCCCAAGATCCCGAGAGGAGAATGGAGAAGGGATTGCAGTGTGACCATCCCCCCTGGTGGGTGATTTCCTGCTTTCTGTCTCTTTGTCTCTCTCTGTCTGTCTGGGGAGCACACGCAGCCTATAGCAAAATCCTCTCCAAAAAAAAAAAAAAGAAAAAGAAAATTGTAGGAAGAAGATTTGGCACACAGGAGATGGTGAGGCAAAGCCTCGCCCTCCACCCTACCCTCTCATGGGCACACGTGAGCCGACTTGGAAGCCCTTTGCCATGTCAGCACATTTGCTGCCGTGGAGACAGCCAACGTCTCAGCTGTAGAGTTCCCTGCGGCTTTCTGCTTCTCGGAGGATATTTCTGGGTCTAGTCGGGTTTTGTTGTTCCCTCCTCATTCTTTTATATTTCAACACATCTTTTCTCTAAGTGGGTGCCAAATGGGCTTGAAGAGGGTAATGAGCTCATTAGAAGCTGGCAGGGAACAGGGAGAGACTGAGGCATTGGTGGTGTGAGAAATGAAGGGACCTGCAGGGACGATGAGGAGGGGCCGTGCCCACGCCACCCACCCCTGCTCTCGGAGCAACTCCTTTTCCTGGAGAGGGAAGGTGCTGACTTGAGTCACCGACATCATCTTCCCCCTGCGAGGAGGTGGGAGGAAGAGCACTCTGGAATCCCAATCCCAGGCACATGGGCATCATCACACTGTACCCTGAGAATCTGCACACAGTAGGGCTCCAAGAAACACTGAAGAAGGAAATGGATGGAAAGGGACAGAGGACTGCTCCCTCCTCCCCGACTTAAACCTACAAAGAAGGCTGTAATTCTATGTGTCAAAACGCTCCAGCGATGGCCTCGGGAACTGTGAATTCAGGGCTCGGTGGGGACAGCGTCTCACTGAGGTTCAAGGGACCCTGTTGAACCACAGCTCCATGTCCCCAAAGAGCTCCTCAAGACTCCTGTGCCTCTCTCTGTCTCTCAGCCATTCTCTGTCCCTGACTCTATCCCTGTCTCTCCAAGTCCCTTATCTCTCATTGTCTCTTTGCTTGCTCTCTCTTTCTCTCTCTCTCTCTTATATGGGAATAGAAAATCGAATTGGAAAATCTGCCTTTTGTTTTTTAAGAGATTTTTGCCTTTAGGGTGCATGTGTTTGCCAGAGAGAGACAGAAACACCACCCCAGGGAAGATGGCCATACCACCATGCCTTCTCCATTCTCCTCCCGGAAGTTTGGGCATGCATGTACTTGCACCTGGAATGACTCTTGAGCCACTGGGTCTAGGACTTGAACCGCAGTTGAACATGTGGGAATCCCACTCAGACCACACACTTAGCCATACAGGCCATGGCAGGAATCCACAAACGTATAGGGGTTACCTTTGTTCAACAAAGGTCTGTTCCCTTGTTGAACACCTACTATATGTTGGACCCTGTGTAAAGGTTTTACAAATGCGATCTTGCATACTCCTCCCTCCTGGGAACCTGCAAGGTGGGTGTGATGGCTCTTCCCAATCCATAGATGGTATATCCACAGCCCTGGGGGCAGGGGGAGGGCGAGCGTCTGTTGGCCTTCAGCAAGCCCTCTGTCTCTGTCCGCTCATAACCTGGAGACTGTACTCACATTGACAGCCTCCCTGTCATTTATAGGTGTGCAGCCCAGGCCTGCACCTTCACATCTCTGTAAAGCAAGTCAACCACAGACTGTCCCTCCCAGGGTCATGGGGAGGATTCAATGAGACGATCCACAGGGCTGGAGTTGGCCCTCGTTAAGAGCTGACTATCATGGCTTCATCCCTTTTCGTTTTGCATGAGACCCCTCGAGCCTCAGTTTCCACATCTGATGAACGTAGTGAATGATGCCTCTCTGGTGTCCCTTCCAGGGTTAGAGTGAGTTTGTGCAGGGATGAGGCTGAGAGGCCCCTATGAGGGAGGGTGGCGTTCAGTTACTGCCATTCGAAACACGTGCAGTTCGTGTTTCCAGCAGGAGCCTCAAAGTGTCTAAACACAGCCTATTTTTAGCATCAGCATGAACCTCTGATGCTGAGCTGCCAAGAAAAAGATGGGCGGGGTAGAGCGGCCCTGCGGGGAGGGGAATGAGAGGCACAGCCTGCCCCTGTGGCTCCCTCCCCTGGGAGTGAAAGGTGCTTCCCTCTTCCAGGCTCTTGAGGGTGGGTTAGGATGGAGTCCAAGAGGCTGAGAAAAGGAGTAGCCCTCCCACCAGAGCCCCCAGAACCTGACTTGGGGGTAAGAGGAAGGTTGGAGAGACCAGCCAGGCCCAGGACCAGCTTACCCTCTGACCAAGCTTGGCCAAGAAACAGCTGCTGAGAAATCAGATTTGTGGAGGTTTGACTTCCTCCCACTGGTGGACTCTGGGAGTCACTAAGCAATCAGAGCACAAGCCAAAGGCAAAATTTCAGTCTTCACTTAATAATAAAAATACCCGAAAACCGTGGTGTTCATTGAACACTTACTACAAGGCAGGCACTGTGTAGAGTGCCTTATTCTCACTGCGCCATTTCATCCTCACTCTGATTATCAGAGATGGTTTTTAGCCTGTACCTCAGTTTCCCTACCCAAAGAATGGAGAAATAATAGTATTTTTTCTCATAGGATTGCTGCGAGAACTAATGAGTTAATATAATGCAAATGTGTAATATCAAATACATTAGGAGCAAGCATTGCTTCATAATAATCCATAGAGAATACATGTGGTTTTGTATGTGCAATGCCTTTTTTTTCTCATATAAAGATGCCATATTCCTTCATGGAGCTTCTCCCTCATAATTCTCAGCTCATGAGGCTTGGGTAGAATGGCTTGTCCTCACCAGTTGCTTAAAACATTCTCATACCTCTCTCTTGGCACGTGTACACAAGAATTGATGTAGGGTGTACTATTCCTAGGAGTGAAATTGCTAAGTCTTTCTGTATGAGCTGAAATGACTATCCTAACTGACAATTTGTTTTCCAAAGTGGCTGTAGTCACAACTCTTCTAAGTAGTATTTGAGCATTCCTATTGCTCCAAATCTATATCAACACTTAATGCTGTCAACCTTTTTCCTTTTGGCCAATCTGATATGTCTGTAACAGATGCTGTATGTTTTCCCCCTAGAGTAAACTTCTGAATGTCCACATCTCCGACCCCAATTCCTTGAATAGTTTCTGTACCTGTTCGCCTGGCAGGCCAGGTGTGCTAGGGAAATAACATTTGGAAACAGCTTCAACCAATGACTGATGGGAGTTGATGTATAAGTGCCCAGCCCCCTCACTCCCCGCTCCTCTCCAGCTAGAATAACTCTGGCGTGTGTGATTAGATAGGTTTCCTGAGTTGTCCTAATGGGATTTAATTTTCCTCAGAGGCATGTAAAATATTTTCAGTTTCCCTCACTTATAAATAAGGAATGCTATGATAAACATCTTATGAATAGATCTTTGTACAGATGCACAAAAGGCAATCTATTCCATAGGACCTTACAATGATGATGAGGCATGGAAATGACCCATTTTACAGATAAGGAAGCCAAGGCTCATAGAGATTCAGTAACTGGCCCAAACATACAGCTAGCAAGAAATGGAGCCTGAATTCAAGTGTGAAACTGTCCAAGCCTCAATATCAGTATGCAGTGATTGACACCAGACAGAGCAGCATGACAGCTAGCCCCCTCTCTTAACCACCGCATCTCTCAGCTGAGCTCCCTTCAATGGAAGGGTCCTTTCTGGACCCTTGGAGACATGGAATACCATTCCTTATATATGTCTTCTCCAGGTAAATGGATCCCAACTTCTCTAATCAAAGTTCTTTCTCACCCTTCTTGCTTCTGGACCAGAGCCATTTGCAAATGAAAGTTGTAATAAAACAGCCTGAAAAGAAATGCCACTATAGGGACCAGCAGTTGGCATAATGGGTATGTCACTGGACTCCCATGTATTGACTGGGGTTCGAGTCCCAGGCCTGGTGGCTTAAACTCATGCCAAGCGTGTGTGCGTGCGTGCCCAAGATCCCAAGAAGAGAATGGAGAAGGAGAGATTGTGGCATGGCCATTCTCCCTGGGGAGTGATTTCTTGCTTTCTGTCTCTCTGTCTGTCTCTTTCTGGTGAGCGCATGCGCCCTATAGCAAAAACTTCTCCAAAAAAAAAAATGCCATTATAAATGCCAACCTTGTGACTTTCACTCATGGTCTCTTAGGATCCAGAATTTTATTAATCCAACTAACCCTGGGGAAAGTTTTTGCACCCCTGGTGGACCCAGAGAGTTTCCAGAAACACTCCACTTTCTGGCCATTCTGTGTAAAGCTGTAACAGGCATTTTGGCACCCAGAGACCCACTGGGTCAACCAAGTGGGATTGTTGTGTCAACGATTCTACACGCTGTGTTTGTGTGTGTGTGTGTGTGTGTGTGTGTGTGTGTCTGTGTGTGTGTGTGTGTATCTGCACAGGTCCCTAGCTACAGCATATGCTGCTTCCTGCATACACTCACACCACCCCCAAAACAATCCCCTGAGCTCCCACACTTCCTTCTGTTCCTAAGACGTGGACTTACCCGCCACCACTCAGCACTCACTGCTCACCATCCGTGTCCATTTTCATTTATCTTCCCCCAAACTCAGAAAAATTAATGAGAAGGCAAAGTGCCATTGGCTTAATGGCCTTTAACACCCAGCCATCTGCCATGATGTAATTAAATAAAAAAATCAGAGGGAGCATATGGCGCCTATTATACATAAATATTAAGATTTTGCTTCCCTGGATAATGACGCCAGTGCCTCTTGCTCCATGGGCAAACTTTATAGCCATCTTTTTCTGTTGCAGGGAATCAGGGAGAGTCTATGGGAGGAAGGGGTCAGACCGGCAGTCAGACATTCCCACATTCGAACCTGCCTCAGACCCTGGTGGCATGTGATTTCCAGCAAGTGACCTCTCTATGACTCAGTTTCCTCACCTGCAAAATAGGGCCACTCTACCATGCCTCACTGAGAAGGTAGAAGGATTATATGGGCTACTGTCCTTAAAATCCATGGCACTCTAATAACAGCATGAGCAAATACTCATAGAGTACTTATGTGTCAAATTCTAAATAGTAATTTGTTTAATCCTTACAAGAACCCTACAAGAAAGCTCCCATTGGTTTGCTCCATTTTACAGGTGAAGAAACTGAGGTTCAGAGAGGGTAAGTCGTCACCTGCACAAGCTTACGCCTGCCAGGGTGTAGTGGAACAGGGCTTGAATCCAGACAGCCAAGCTTTGGAGCCTACACTCTTAACATGTACTGAGCCTTTGATTAAACAAAACATCTACCCCTTTTCATGATAATACCCTTGCCCAGACCTCATCTCAGGAAAAGATGCTGATTCAGTGAGTTGATGCAATGATCGGTGACCACTCCAGGTAGGTGTAATGAACACATGTTGGGGAGTCCATCTTCTGTGTGATCACCCCGACTCTAATGCCTCCAGGGATAGGGCCCAGTGGCTGTGTTTGTACCATATAATCCTGCCCATTGGCACAGCTGGACTCAGATCTAAAACTGGCCGATCCATTCTTGCTCCCAGGCATGCTGGGTTGGGATTTGAAGCAATCTACTTTCTGCTGGTCACTTGAACTAAGAACCTCTATGTAACTTCAGGATCTGTCACCAGCAGCTTCAAGAAAGAGTAAAAGTTAGTCTGCAAAGAGAAAGAGGAGAAGAAAATGAATGGGCAGAAGAGAGAGGCTAAGACAGGGGAGCCAAGAAAGCATTAGGTTGCTGACCTTGGAGGGCCAAGTAACAACCCTCCAGGGGTCAAGACAGCATTGAAGGAGACAGTGCAGTATTGCCTTACCACGAGGCTGGGTATACCATGAAGGCTCAACAGGCTTTAGCTGCAATTAGTCTTCAAAGGGCAACCATATAAAACTAACATACTCTCTCCATAAGATTCAGCAATTGTGCTCCTTGGTATTTACCCAAAAGAGTTACAAAATTATGTACAGCCAGACAATGGAATGTTATTCAGCACTAAAAAGCCTGCACTATCGTCATGAAAAGACATGCAGGAACCTTAAACACATATTGCTAAGTGAAAGACGCCAGTCTGGAGAAGGCTACATACTGTATGATTCCGAGTGTACCAATGACACCCTAGAAAAGGGAAAACTCTGGCGACAGTAGAAAGATCAGTGGTTGCCAGGGGCTGGGGGGAGGGAGAGATGACTAGGTGAGGCGCAGAGGCTTTTTATAGTAATTAAACGGTGACATCACAATGGTGGACACATTTGTCAAAACCCGAGGTATGTGCCATGCCAAAAGTGAACACGGATGGACTGTGGACTTTGCATGACAATGATGTGTCAGGGTAGGTTTATCGATGGCAATAAATGGGGCTCGCTCCAGCAGCACATATACTAAAGCTGGAATGATAGAGACATTAGCATGGCCCTGGTGCAAGAATGGCATGCAAATCTGTGAAGTGTCCCATGCTTTTGCAAATACTCAATGTCCCTGCTTAACCTAGACCAAATGTCCACCATCTAGGGCAGAAACGGAAGGACTCGAAAGCACAGAAATAGAGAGTGTGATGGGAGATAGCAGGGACAGGAAGAAGCTCATGAGAAAATTTCTAAGGGACACGAGAATGCATGTAAGTAAAGGGAGGAAGCTATGGGGTAGTGTAAAAATATGGCCAAGTAAAAAAAATGTGGACAATTTAATACATTAAAAAACAATAACCAAACTAGTAGAACTGTTATTAAACATGCACAACATAATGTGATGTTCAATGCTGAAGAAGGCGAATATGTGTATGCCCTTGGGGATGATTATTATATTCTGTATGCGTGCTTTTAAAAACCATACTAGACCCCATAAAGACATCTGTCAAATATACATAAACCAGAAGACATCACCTTTTTTAAAGGTAGAAAATATTGTAATAAACGTACCACTCTGATAGGGGATGTTGGTGGCAGGGACGGCTGTCCATGTGGGATGAGGCAGGGGATCTAGGGGAAGTGTTTGTACTTATTGCTTAATTTTTCTGTGAACCTAAAACTTAAAACAAACAAACAAACAAACAAAAACACCAAATGTGAGTTTTTGTTTTTTGTTTTTGTTGGGTTTCTCTATAGGGCACATGCGCTCCTTGGAGACAGAGCAAGGGAAAGTGAGGAATGCCCACCCCCCCGCCCCCCCACGGGTGGCCACAGTGCAATCCCTTCTCCATTCTCCTGGAATTATGGGCAGCACGCGTATGCACCTGGCATGATTTTCAAGCCACAGGGTCCAGGACTCCACCAGCAAAGAAAGTCCTGTGGGAATCCAGTGCCTTTAACCACCACGCCACCTGTTGACTCCAAATAACTTTTTTTAAAAGGTGAACTTTGACAAAATCATTTACTTGAAAAGACAGAGACCCAGTACAGTAGAGGTGTGAGCCATTCAAACCCTGAGCTGGAGCAAAGGGGTAGAATTGCAGAAAGAAATGGGAAGGGTGGGAGAACAAAGCATGTGAACAGACAGCCCCCCTGGTCCTGCAACAGTTTGATGAAAGGGGCCCTAGGTGCAGAGCACCCAATCTGCTGGCTCCCTTCCATCAGTCAGCTGGCAGCCATCTCCCAGCCCCCATCACTTTCTTCCCTAAGAGGGACTTCTAAAGAAAGACCCTAAATCCCTATCATTAAGCCATCTGGAATCATCCCTCTCCTGTGGGAGCTGCTCTGTCGTGGGTCAATTAGTGCACATTTGCATAGAGTTCCATAATAGGTTGCTAATTGTCTGGGGGAGATAATGGATGGCTCTGTTGGTTCTGGGCAGAGTGTTTACCCACAGGGGCAGACCCTACAGGGGGTGGCAGAGAACAGCCAGGGAAGAGGAGGGAGGGGGAAAGGATGGGATGGGATGGACAGATGGGGAGGAAGTGGAACAGAGTAAGCTGTTACTGACTCACACGCAGTAAGGAGACATGTTATCTAGTGATCCTTTGCTTCCGTTGTACGTGTGCACCGCAACATAAAATGCATTTCTCTCTGCCAGTCCATTAAAATCATTTGGAAGCCCCAGTGATGGAGAAGAGCAGAGAATTACATGAGGTAAGGGGGCCCCGAAGGGACTCTCCGAGAAGAAGGTATCTGAAATGAGGCCTGAGAAATGAGGAGGCAGCCATGGGAAGACCTGGGGCTAGAATGTTCCAGGCAGAGAGAGACATCGGGCCAAGACGAGGTGGGAAGAGGGCAGGCTCCATCCTGCAGGGACCTGTGGATTCTACTCAGGCTGTTCCTGAGCTGCAGCCTGACCCGTGTCTGTTTCCCAAAGTGTACAAGGAGCGGCTGCAGGAGGAGCTTGCGAAGGACCCTTCCTGTTCCTGGGGGTAATGACCATGTCTTGGAGGCTGAGCTGCGGCACGTGTGTTGGTTGCTCGAGCTGAGAACAGGCCAGTATCTAGGTGCTCATCAGGGGTCACGGTGGCTCTAGAATTTCTTTGCTCACGGATAAGTGGCTCACGAAGCCTAAAATATTTGCTTTTTGGTGTTTTATGGAAAACAATTATGGATCCTTGATCCTTCTCGGCAAGGAAGATAGATGTGGAGATTACAGGGGAGGTGCTTAGAACCACTGAGGAAGCTCATCCTGCCATTTCTAAAGCTTAGCGACCACCCTCGGGTCGCTCAGTGTCTTCCTTGGAGCAAGTGACACAGCGCTAGAGGAGAGCCAGGGAGTCACTGTCAGAAGAACAGCCTTCTTTTCAAGACAGGGAAACCGAGGTCCAGAAAACCTCAAATGAAATATTGGATCATCAGAAAAGTCACGACTCATTTTTGCACAGAAAAAAAAAAAAAAACAACCATGAAAAAAATATATATCATGACTTTTCCAACGACCCAGTAACTTCTGTCCATGGGAAAAGCCTCGTGTAGACCTGGACCAGGAGAGCATCCAGTACCTTCTAGTGATGGCTATTGTCGCTGCAGCTGTTCTACCACAGAACCCTAGAGTTCACAGGGCCCTCAAAGCCAGCTAGTCTGAGTGTGATGTTTTACACATGGGGGATACAGGGCCCAGAGAGGCTGAAGACATGTCCTGGGGTCACACAGCCAGGCCGGAGCTGAGCTGGTTTCTTCCCAGTACACACGTTGCCACCTCCCATCCCTCCTAGCTGCAACCCCGAGCAAATCACTCTGCTGGCTCTACCCTGACCACAGCAGATTAAACTCTGATATAGGAAAGATGACAGCTCCCATTAGCAACTCTTCCCTGGAGAGGAATTTTCCACCAGAAGTTTCTCTGGCAAGAACTACTGTTCCCACCCTGAAATCACCGAAGCCCAGCCTTCTTGTCCAAGCCATTGTGTGTATGTGTGTTTGGGAGAGTGCTGGTGATGGAGTTGGCTCTGTATCCCCAGCTCAGCTCCACAGGTTCAAGTTCTCCTCCCCCATGGAGTATCTGGTGCCTTGGAGGGGACACCGTTCCTGCAGTTGGCTTAGAGCAGGACTAAGTGGGCTCAGCCCACCAGGGCTGGAGAGAGGGCTCTTTATATGTCCAAGCCAGCTTCCTCACTGACAAATGGGGAAACAGAACCCAAAAAAGGCATGGGACGGTTTTCTCCATGGTCATCCATGGACCCCACCCAGATCCCTGCCTCCCCGGGAAGGAAGAAAAAGAGTGACCCACATTACCGCATGCGTCTACGTGCCAGGCCCTGCCACACACAGCGTCATGGCCTCTCCCCAGCGGCTCAGTGTGGCAGACTGGCTTTACTCTCGCTTCACAGATGGGATCACCACGGCCTGAAGAAGTCTGTCAACTTGCCGAAGAGCAGAGCTACTGAGCGAGACTCAGACCCAGGCCTGTCCGACTCCGGAGCCCTTAATCCCAACCTCCATGGCAGTGCCTCCTGTTGCAGAGCCATTTCTGACCTCCAACTCAGGCTTCCATCCCGTGAGGCAAGGTGACATGGAAGCCCTCCACATTCAGGGAACCTTTCTTTTCTTTTCTTTTCTTTCTTTCTTTCTTTCTTTCTTTCTTTCTTTCTTTCTTTCTTTCTTTTTTTTTTTTTTTGAGAGGTTTTTGCTATAGGGCTCATGCGCTTGCCAGAAAGACAGAGAGAGACAGAGAGACAGAAAGTGAGAAATTACCCCCCAGGGGGGATGGCCACACCGCAATCCCTTCTCCTCCATTCTCCTCTTGGGATCTTGGGCACACATGCACACGCACCCGGCGTGAGTTTAAGCCACCAGGTCCGGGACTTGAACTGCAGTCAACTATGTGGGAGTCCAGCGACATAGCCTTTATGCCAACTGCTGGTCAAGGGAGCATTTCTCCTGACTGCTCAGAGTCTGTGCAGGGAATGAGCACTTTCTAGACAGGGGTCTCCAGGCCCTGGAGCATCTTCATCACATCTGTCAGTGACCCATTAAGTTCTGCGGGCATCCAACAGAGAGAGGTCCCCTCCCACAATGGCAACCACTGCCAGAACCAAATTAATCCTCCGGCCCCTTGGTACGTCATCTGGACCTCATGGTATCACAGAACAAGTGGCAGGAGACCACACACACACACGTGCCAATGGAGACTCACACATGCATGAACATGTGCACACCTATGTGGCTGCCATTGCTCGCCACACCCCACACATACAAATACTCACACCTGCTCGCCACACCCCACACATACAAATACTCACTCACACTGATTTGTCCATCCCTACTTACAACACGGGGCAGGAATCCTTCCACCCACTGCACTTCACCCACGAGGAACAGCAGACCCTATGGAACTTGCCGAAGAAACAGGGTTAGTGTCAGAGGTCAAACCAGAAACTGGATCTTCCTGTTCTGACCAAATATGGCTTCTTCATCCCCTGGGATTGTCCATGAATAAGCCAGCACGTGTCCTTAAAACTCTAGACTGGAGATTCTAGTCCTCAACACCACTGACTTCCTCATTTTTTATTTTGCTATAGTGCATGTGTGTTCCTTGTGGGGAGCAGGGGATGAAGTCAGGAAGCACATCCCAGGGAGGATGGCCATGCTGCAATCTTCTCTCCTTCATTGTCCTCTGGGATTTGGAGCATGCACACACATACGCCTGGTGTGTCTTTCAAGTCACAGGGTCCAGGACTTGAACTGCTCAGCTGGCCATGTGGTATCCAGCCTCCTTAACCATCATGCCACCAGCTGGCCCCCACTGACATTTTGCACTGGATAATCCTTTGTTGTGTATTCGGGGTGAGGGTGAGCTGTCCTGTGCATTGTAGGGTAGTTAGCATTCTTAGCCTGTATCCACAAGATGCCAGGGTCACCCCCCTTCCCCACAAGTTGCGACCATGAAATATATCTCTAGACATTGTTCTGAACCTTGGCATACATTTATGAAGCTCTCATGCCAGACGCCAGAGTTGCATTCTAAGGTTTAATCCTAGTGTTCTACAATAAGATTCAAATGTGGAGTTCCTTTATCTGTTTACACATTTTTTGGTAGCTCCGTAGA